TTAGAATCACTTTAAACTGTTAAAAACTTGTGGCTTTTGATGATGGTGCTACCACTTTGGAGACTACAAACATTGACAATTCTGACCTCAGAACTCTTGSACATTTTTCCAAATACTTCAAYATATACTGGAGGTTAAAGAAGGTGTTTAGCCTTACACCTGAACATGGAGTGTCCCCACAGGCCCATCCTGGTCTCCCCATCCTGATTTCCTGTCCCCATCCCRGTGGCTCTTTTCCCCTCATGTTTCCCATCCTCTTCCCCTCATGTTTCCCACCCTTTTYCTCACTTTTACCACCCTTTCTCCCCACAACTTTCCCACCCTTTTGTCCTTTGCATTTCCTGCCCTTTTTCRCCTCACGCTTCCCGCCATTTTTCACTCACATTTCCCGCCCTTTCCCCCTCACGTTTGCCCTTGCTCCGTCCTGGGCTCTCTGGGCACGGGGGCCTCAGAGCTCGCTCCTCACCTCAGCCCTGCCATGGACTGGTTCCACTGCAACCGCTGCTATCGCCAGGATGGTGCCCGCTTCGCCATCACCAGCTGCGGCCACGTCCTGTGCGTCAACTGCGGGGGAACAGGTAGGAGCTAAATTGGGGAAAATCCCTGGGTTGAGCCCTTAAAATTCTGTGCAATGGGGAGTTKCCTTCCATTTAACCCCTCAAAATGAGGAGGAAAAGAGGTCTTACCTCACCTTATGCAAATAAAATGGGCTCTACCCTCAATGTAAACCCTTAAAGTACCAGGAAAACAGGATTTCCCATCTATTACAGTCTCTCAAATAATAAAAAAAGAGGATTAGACAATCTCACCTCCATTTAAAACCCTAAAATGAGGGGAAATGGCAGATTTCCCTCAGAAAACACCATTTTTGGAAACTTCTGGACACATTTTTCTCTCACTTTTTCTCCCCCTCGCACAGGTTCCTGCCCCATCTGTGGAGCTGCCTGCCGCTACCTGCCCCTGTCCCACCAGGCCGGTGCCCACCATGTTGTGCCCCGTGTCCCCTCATCCTYCATCTTGTCCCCTCACCCTCACCTCTTCCCACCCTTTTCCCCTCCCTTTCCCCCCSCTTCYCGCCACTGTTCTCACACCGCCCCCCCCCCCCATCCTCAACAGATGGGCCCGCAGGAGAAACTTTTCTTCAAGAGCCCGGCAGCCATTGCGCTCAAGCACCTCACCCATGTCACTCAGGTGAGGAGGATAACAGGTGACGGGGGATTCCGTTCCACTGCCATCCCCCACCCCACACACAGATGAGGGGGGCAAGGAGGTGACACCACATCCYCCAGGTGTGGCAGTTCCAGCTGGCACAGGCGCATCTGCTGCTTGACTCCCACCGGGACAGAGCTCAGCGGGCGCAGGTGGAGCTGGAGAAGGCCAGAGAGGAGCTGGGGGAGAGGAGGAGGTGAGCAGGGTGCCACGGTATGGGGCTTCACATCTCCATCTTGGGCTCCTCTGGGCAGCTGGGTGAAGCGTCACATCCTCGGGTGACATCTCGGCAAGACTCCGTGTCCTTTTGGCCACGTTTTGGTGAYTTTTTTGGGAGGGTCTTACCCACCAACCTTGGCTACTGAGTTGCTGAGAGGATGTTAGGCCATTTGCTGCAGTCCTGGGTAGGACTCCTACCCCAAATGGGGGAATTCCCATTAAATCCCTATTAAATCCTCCCCCTTCCCAGAGAGCTGGACTTGCTTCGCCAGGAGAATGCAGAGCTGCGCCGCATCCAGGTGACCCCCACATTTCCCCCACCCTTTCCCCTCAGTTCCAAACTGCTCCCTACCCCCAAAAACTGCCCCCAAAATCTCCCCACAGCTCTCCCCAGGCTGGCGCCACAGCAGCCACAGCATCCCCCGTCCCATCTGCATCACCTCCCCCACACAGTCAGGTAAGAACCCCACAAATTTTTAGAGGGGTCGCCCACCCCCTAAAATTCTTCTCCACCCCACCCTTGGTCATAGGATTCCTCCCAAATTTTCCCTCCCTCTTTCAGTCACCCCCCGGCCCTGTCGACAGCTCAGCRGCCAAGTGGTCAGGTAAGGGGGGGACACCCTAAATTTGTAGGGGGTCCCCTAATTACACCGGGGAGTCCCCCTAACTTCTCACTCCTCTTTTCCAGCCGCTTGGCCCCACTGGAGCCCCCCCAAGCCCACAGCACCCCAAGATGGCAGGTGAGACCCCCTCCTACAAATTTAGGGCACCCCAAATTCAGAGGGTGGTTCCTATGAGGCTTTGCACACCCCCCCACACACACAGGTGGGCGTAGCCTACAGGGATTCAGGGACCCCTCTGGCTTCCAGCATGGGTGAGTGACCCCAAASCCTACAGGTTTTACCCCAAAATACTGACCGAAGCCCCACCCGCTTCCCTTACTGTCCCAAGGGCCCCCAAAAGCCCATATGGCACCTCAAACGCCCATGATGTGATGCCAAAATCCATCATTTTTCCCTATGGAGACACCAAAACCCCACGGTGGGACTCCCAATCCCCTCATCTCTTCCCAGAGGGACCCCCCAGAACCCCACAGGGAACCCCAGGACAGCAAAAATAACCCCCAAACCCTCASATGCCCATGGGGATGCTGATCTCTCTTTATAAGGACCTCAAACCCACACCCAAGGAGCCCAGAGTCCCCCTAAACACTCCAGAGAAACCCCTCAGTACTGACCCCAAACTACGGGGTGACCTTAAAAGCCCTCCTAATGCCCCTTTCTCCCCTTAGTGCCCCCCCTGGCTGGGACAAGAGAGGGGCAGGTACTGGGGGGCACTGGGAGGGGACTGGTATACAAATGGGAGGGAATACGGGGAGCACACAAAGGTACTTGGGGGCACAGGGAGGGGGGAATTGTGAGAGACTAGAAGAGGGGACGATTTACTGGAAGAGAGTTTTGGCTGCTGTGACCACTGGGAGGGAATATGGGGTTACTGAGAGGGGAGGTTGATGTTACAGGGACCCRTGGGAGGGGTGGTTGGAGTTAGTGGGAGCACCGGGAGGGAAGGTCGGGGTTACYGGGTGGGGGTTTCAGGTTGCTAGGAGGACCTCAGCTCCCCCACCTCCCATCCCCGACTCCCTTGTCCCACCTTTTCCCCCCCTAAACCGATGCAAGATCCCAAATTTAAGTAGCCACCCCCAAAACTCAGTAGCCAAGGCCATTTTTCTTGCTTTAGGGCTCTGCTCTGTGGCCGCCTAGGAGCAGGTGCTCCCAGTGGCATCCCSTTACACGGCCATAAAGGAAAAACAGGCACCTCTCAATGGACCCGCGGCTCCTGGACATGAGCTCCGGGGTTTCCCACTGACCCTASAGGCGGCTGGGGACAGGAGGACATAAAAATGAGTTTTAAAAAATGCCAATTTTGGGGTGATTTTGGGTCCGTTTTTGGGACGAGGGTGAAAGGCTCTGGATTCCGCCACATAGCGCCGCCCCCTGTGACGTTTCGATGTTGTTGTTCGTGCTGCGTTCCGGTGGGGCTGTGGACCGAGGGGAGGCGGATTGCGGGGAAAACGGTAAAAAGGGGAGGGGGGGGGACGAGGGGAGGGAGACGCAAATGGGGGTCTCTATGGAAAAGCAGTGGAGCTTCGTGTCTTTGGGAGAGCTCGGATGGGTGAAAATACGTTGCGGGGGGGGCCGGTTGGGGCTTGAGTGCGATCAAGCGATTGGAGGAGAGGCACGGAGAGGGCGGGACTGGCGGGTGCGCCGGAGCGGGATCGGTGGCAGGGCCGGCGGGTGCGGGGTGGGGAAAGGATCGTCACTTCCGAGTCCTGGTGTATCCGCGTCCCGCTGGGCCCGCCGCCTCTCGCTGCTCCGGGAGCGGCCCGGGACCCTCAGAACTGCCCCGTGACCCCCGGCACTGCTCCGGGACCGCTTCGAAGCCGCCGCGGATCCACTTCGGCGGGGGACTCGGCGGGGCCGGCCGGGGATGCGGCGGTGCGGCCCGAGCCATGTGGTACATCATGCAGAGCATCCAGAGCAAGTATTCGCTGTCCGAGCGCCTCATCCGCACCATCGCCGCGATTCGCTCCTTCCCTCGGGACAACGTGGAGGATCTCATCGGCCGGGTGAGCCCCTGGCGCCGGGACGCGCCACCCGTTCCGCGGCCGACCCGGCCTGCTTGAGCSCCTCGGCCCGGATCCCTCTGAGGGCCACTGCCGAGCTGTCCCCGCGTGTCGCGGCCCCCGCGGAGCCTCCGTAGCAACTCCCTGGAGTTTCGGGGAAAGATCGGGGTCGCTCTCTTTAGTTTAGAGACACCKGGCCTTTTCTTCCACCCTCCGGATCCCAGGGGCCCGGCGTAGCTCCGGGGGTCTCCAGGCACCGTTTAGTGGCAATACATTGCTGAAACACTACTGGGAGCCGGGATTACAATAAGGAGCTTTCCTGCGAACAAACACACGGGATTTGTCTTAATGAACTCTATCGGTCGCTGCCGATGAAGGGATGGAAAGGGCAGGGAAAAGGGGAAATTCCTGACCCCGGGCCGGTTCCTGMTCTCGGAAATTCCATAAAACTTGAGCAAACATACCCAGGGGATTTGTGTGAGTTAACCGTTTCTGAAGGGATRGAAAGGGGCGAATTCCTGACGCGGCGGGGGGGTTCCTGTGCTCCCCAGGGCGCCGATGTGAACTGCCTACACGGCACCCTGAAGCCCCTGCACTGTGCCTGCATGGTGGCTGATGCTGACTGTGTGGAACTGCTGCTGCAGAAAGGAGCCGAGGTAACACCTTGGAAAGCCCAAAAACCGGTGAAAAAACGCAGAGAAAACGGTTTGGGAAGTTGGAAGGAGCTGATAAACGGCTGGGATTTGAGCTGGGGGGAAGGAGAGAGAAAGGGGGGACTTGGGGGCTGGAAAAGGAGGATTTTGGGGATAAAACGGGGGGGTAAAAGTGGTCTAGAAAGGGCAGGGAACGGGGGGGAGTTTGATTTTTTCGGGGGGGTTGACTTTGGCTTCTGGGGAAGATTGCTTTCTCCAGAMAGTGGTGGGACACTGGAGCAGCCCCCCGGGGATCGGGGTTTGGACAATACTCCCATTACAGTGGTTTTTTCTTTGGAGATATCTGTGTAGGTCCAGGGSTTGGGYTTGATGATCCTGAGGGTCTTTCAMAGCTCAGGCTGTTCCATGGGTCTGTGTCCCCTCACAGGCACAGTAGGGGTGGGGAAATATCAGCTGAGCAGGGAGTGAATTTTTGTGCTTACATTTGGGGAGGGTGAGAAAGAAGATTTAAAACAMAAAGTTTTGGGCTGAGATTCCRGGAAGCAAATGTCCTGGATTTTTTTCCCTTCCCCTACCTGCTGGATAGCTCCTACCTCAAACCCCGCCCTTGTTTTTTGYGATATGGGAACTTTGGCTCTTCTTTTGCTGTTGGGGCTACTCCCTAACCCCAAACTTTTATTCTTTGCCCCAAGGTGAATGCCTTGGACGGCTACAACCGCACAGCCCTCCATTATGCTGCAGAGAAGGACGAAACCTGCGTGGAAATTCTGTTGGAATACGGCGCCAACCCCAATGCCCTGGATGGCAACAAGGACACGCCRCTGCACTGGGCGGCCTTCAAGAACAACGCTGAGTGTGCCCGGGCCCTGCTGGCCAAYGGTGCCCTGGTCGATGCCCGAGATTACAACAACGACACCCCCCTGAGCTGGGCGGCCATGAAGGGAAACCTGGAGAGCGTCAGCGTCCTGCTGGACTTTGGCGCCGAGGTGCGCGTTGTCAACCTCAAGGGCCAAAGCCCCGTCTCGCGCCTGGTGGCGCTGCTGGTGCGGGGCCTGGGCACGGAGCGYGAGGATTCCTGCCTGGAGCTGCTGCACAAGGCCACGGGACACTTTGAGCTAAGGAAGAATGGCAGCATGCCCTGGGAGGTRGCCCGGGACCCGCAGCTGTGCGAGAAGCTGACGCTGCTGTGCTCGGCRCCGGGGACGCTACAGGCGCTGTCGCGCTGTGCCGTACGCCGCTCGCTCGGTCCGCGCTTCCTGCCCCAGGCCGTGCAGCAGCTGCCGCTGCCTGCCTGCCTCAAGGAGTACCTGCTGCTGCTCACCTGAGGGAGGCATAATTCCCTGAATTTCCTTGCTGTTTCTTCCTGGGAGAGGTTCCTCTCCTCAGTTTTTCTCCCACTCTGCCTAGCTGGGACCCTGCTGGCTCCTCATGCCCCCTTCATTTTCTTCCCCATCCCCCCACCTCCATTTCTTCCTTTCTAGTCCCTCTTTCTGTCCCCTCCATTTCCTCCCCCTGTGCCCTCCCTTTCCTCCTGCAATGAACTGTCTCCCTCTGATGACAAATTATATCCTGGCTATTGGATTAACCTGGGTTTTCTCACTTTTTTGGGKTTTTTTTCCTTGGSAAAGGAAGGATTTCAAGGAAAAATCTCGTTTTACAAAGGGCCTGAGGCAGGAAATGGAAGGGTTTGGATGCAGAGAAATCCTGTGGCAAGTGTTGACTTGGAAAGCCAAGTTGCATCCAGGGGTTTCTCCAGCGTGGAAAAGTGCAGTTTTTCCTGGATGTCCATAATTTTTATGCTGTACTGAAGGTGAAACCACCTTAAACACCAAAAGCTAGCGGGGCTGAAGTTCTTGTGGGCCAAGGAAATGTTCCTCTCCTTCTCCAGAGAGCTCCACGTGGAGCTGAGGGGTTTGCCACCAGGAATTCACCCTTTGGTGTTGATTTTGGGGATCCTATTCCAGGATCCACCAGAAGAGCAGCTCTCCCAAGATGAAACCAAGCAGTTACAAACAGTCATTATTATTTTCTGGGACGAGTTTGAGGAAGAAAACTCAAATTCCATCTCTTTTCTCCCTCCTTGTTGTGCTGGGCAGCTAAATCCTGAGGGCTAGGGGGGTTTGGGGTCAGTGGGGTCCAGTTTGRTTTTCCCATGCATTCATAGAGGCCTGCAGCATTTGGATGGGCAATGAATTTATTGAAACATCTCCATTTTGTCATTTTTCACCCTAAAAACTTTAACCTTTCCCACTTTTCCCTCCGCTCATTACAACAGCGCTCGGGAGCCGCTTCTCAAAAATGCAAAAAACCCTACACCAGCCCCCCAAAATTACCCCCCTTSCCCCAAYGGAAAAGGGGGAATTTTGGGATTCCTCTGGACTGGAGGTGGCAGTGGCTGCCATCCCTGTCACACAGTGSCCTCGGGGACCAGCACCTTGCGGGAGAGGTGCTCCAGGTGTGCCTTTTCTGACGTGTCCAGCTCGATGTTGTACTTGGCCAGGATTTTGAGGATGGGCCGTAGCCTCAGCCACCACTGCTCCTTGGGAATGCGATGCCTGGCGGGAACAGGGACACAGACGGGCTGGGGATATCCCTGGGGATGATCCCGGGGTTTGTCCAGCCTTTCGAGGGATGGGAAAGGGAGGGAGAAGGAGGGKGACGCACTCGAAATCTGTGTGCTCCTGGAGCTCGGCGATGGGCTGGAACAGGAGGCTGCGCTTGCGCATCCCCAGCAGGCAGGCGGAGTCAGCCGTGTTGGCGAAGATCCGGCCTGAAAAAGGAGAGTTTGGGAATCTTCCAGAAATCTCTGGGATCTTCCAGGAATCCGGGAACCTTTGGGAACCTCCTGATGCAGAGGCTGGGAATGGTTGGGATCTTCTAGAAATGGAARACTCCTGGGAATGGAAGCTGGGGACATTTGGGAGCCTCCAGAAAGGGAAAACACTTGGGAATGTAGCTTAGGAATTTTTAGGAGCCTGTGGGAGGGGAAAACACCTGGAAAGGAACAGGGGAATATTTGGGATCCTGTGGGAGAGGAGGTTGGGAGTGTTTGGGGCTCTGCAGGAACAGAGAACACCCCCCSAAAATCCATGGGAGGGCCCTTCAGGGAATGTTTCAGGATACAGAGATTCCTTTGAGAATTCCAGTCCTCTCCAGGAGCAGGGAACACCTGGGGACGGGTGGGGGGAATGTTTGGGACCTTCCAGAAAGGGGAGGTTGGGAGTGTGTGGGATGCTCCAGGATGGGGAAATACCCCCCAAAATCTGCAGTACGGCCCTTTTGGGAAATCTTTGGGATAGGGAGTCATGCTGGTGGCTCCTTCGGCAATCACCCACCATGCCGGGAGCACTCCTTGATCTTCCCGGTGATCCAGGCCACAGCCTTGGCACCCATTTTGGTGCCGAAATTCCGGTCGAAGGGGGTGGGGCTGCCTCCCTGTGCAGGGGGAAAAAAACGGGATGAGCTCGGAAAATCCCCCAGAAATCCTGACCCCATTCCTAGGGGGAATTCCCACCTGCTGCATGTGGCCCAGAACGTTTTTCCGGCAGTCAAAGACACCCTTACCCTCCTCAGAGTAGAGGTTGTAGATGAAATCCGTGGTGTAGTTCTCGTTGCAGCGCTCATTCCTACAGCAGGGATGGSTCAGGGCTGGATCACACAGTTAACCCCATCCCAAACAATTCCATTGGTACCAAACACAATTCCCCTGATCCCAAGCCCCAGCGCTACAATGAGACCCGCAGATCCCMCAATCCCAAACACAATTCTCCTGACCCCAAAGCCCAGCACTGCAGTGACACCCCAAACCCGGCTCCACCTGAGCACAAGGCCCCTCTTCACTGTGGTCTTCATCTTTTCTGTCAGATGCTCCACGTTGGCCTGCAGGATATGAACCAGGGAATGGGACAGAAATGGGGTCAGGAATGGGGAATAGGATCGGGAATCGTGCTGGGAATGGGGAAGAACAGGAACTCGCTCTTTTCACGTCACCCCAGCGCTGCAGTGACCTGGGGACAGGGGACAGGAGTGTCCCCACCAGCAGATCCCAGCTGCTGATGGGCTCCTCGTTGATGTAGGGTGGGAATGGGGTTTCTTACAGGGTATGTAATGGGGTTGGGAATGGAGACCCTCTTCTCCTGTGATGTGGTGACCCTGGGAATGGGGACAGGTGACCCAAGTGACCCCACCTGCAGGTCACGGCTGCTGAAGGGCTCCTCGTAGATGTAGGCRGCATCTGCACCGGCTGCCAGCCCGGCCATGGTGGCCAAGTAGCCACAGAAGCCACCCATGGTCTCGATGATGAACACGCGGCGCTTGGTGCCCGCAGCTGACTGCTTGATTAGGTCACACGTCTGGGGTGGGGTTTGGGAAAAGAGGTTTMAGGTCAGGGGAGTCAGGCATCTCCCACTGGGGTCTGACCGTGGTGATGGTGTTTGGGATCAGGGGCATAGGGGGATTAGGAGTTATGGGATACAGGATCGCGATCCCACTGTGATGATGGTGCTTGGGGGTCTTGGTGTGGTGATGGTGTTTGGGATCAGAGGATTTGGGTATCTGGGATCTCACCGTGGTGATGGTGTTGAGGGCGGTGTCAGCACCAATGCTGAAGTCAGAGCCGGGGACGTTGTTGGAGACGGTGGCGGGGATGATACACAGTGGGATGCAGAGCTCCTCAAACTTCGCCCGGCCCTGCACCAGCTCCAGGCCCCCCATGAATGCCTGGGGACAATGTGGACACTGATCCCACCTGGCCCTGCACCAGCTCCAGGCCCCCCGTGAACTCCATTGGGGACACAGGGSACATTGGAGATGCCCTGACCAACTCAGTCCTCCACCACCTCCAGGGCTGCCTGTGAATGCCTTGGGGACAATGGGGACATTGACCATGCCCTGCYGATCATGCCCTGACCACGCCCCACAGACCACACCCCAACCACACCCTGGCCATACCCCTACCGCTCTCATCGTGCCCTCACCACACCCCAGGTATGCCCTGACCGTGCCCCACTGACCCTACCCCGCTGTCCCTGGCCCCACACCACTGACCTCGAAGCCCCCAATGACAATCAGCCCGTGGATCCCGAATTTGCTGATGTTGGCACTGATTTCCTCAAAATATTTCTTAGGCAGAGTCCTGGGTAAGGGGAAACCCCCCTGGTGAGCCCAGCCAGAGTGGGCACCCCAAAGGGACCCCAGATGACCACACCCAGGCAGGTGTCACCTCTTGGTGCCCAGCTTGGATCCTCCCAGCCCTGTCCAGTTGCCCACGGCATCCCAGCYGATCTCCTCCACCTTTGGGGGGAAACGGGGTTAATGGGATGGGAGAAGGGTTTGGAGTCACACAATGTCCTMTCAGCCCTATTAGGGGATCACACGATGTCCCGCAAATCGGGGACAGCAGCAGAGTGAYCCCACAGCAGGGCTGGGGTTTGGAGAGGGGATAAACACCCCTGTCCCAAGGAGTTCCCAAAGAATCCACATCCTGCCCCTTCCCAGGCCCTGGGCACCCCTTTTGCCCTATAGGGATCTCCCCATCCTGAAGGCCAACACCTCAAATCCATCCCAAAATCCAACCCCTCAAATCCATCCTGCACATCCCACCCCATTTCTCACTCCATTTCCTCACAGGAACCTCACCATCCTGAATGCCAGCCCCTTGAATTTATCCCAAACTCTTTTCCTGGCGCCTTTTTTCCCATTTTTCTCACCATCCCAAAGGCCAGCCCTTCGAAGCCGTCGTGCACCGCCAGCATCCGGTGGCCGTGGCTGAGGCCGATGCGGACGGTGGAGCGCACGGCRGCATTCATCCCGGCCGCAGGGGCACCCACGTTCATCACGGCCACTGTGTACCCGCTCTGGGGACAGGGACAGAGTCAGAGGTGGCCTTGGGGACACAGACATGGGGACACAGGGACAGCATTGCAACTGCTCTACAAGGACAAGGGCCTTGGGGACAGGGGACACACGGACAGGATCAGGGACATGGGGACAGGGGACAATGGGGACAGACGTGGCCTTGGGGACAAGGGACACAGGCTGGGGTGCCCCGGGGACAGGACATGGTTCAGGTGGCCTTGGGAACAGTGGTGTAACTGCTCTTTGGAGCCAGCAGCAATACTGGGGTGTCCTTGAGAGGGATTTGGGTATTCCAGGTTGGGAGCCCTTCCCGTGCCCCCCCTTGGTGTCCCRTCCCTCAGTGTCCCCCTGTGTCCCCTACCTTGGTGGGGGGTGGGCGGATGTGAGCCAGCAGCTTGTAGACATTCCAGTTGTTCTGGAAACTCCTAAAAATCAGGGGAATTGGGGTTTGGGGCCATTTTGGGGACATCAGGGTGTGGGGATGGGACTGGGACAGGGAGGTGTCACCCACCGGCCACGCAGCTTCAGCGCATCCTCGAAGCGTCCCTCATTCATGGCCGTGGTGACATCCTTGGTCTGGGGGGACAGAGGGGATTTGAGTGGGGATTGGGGCCTCCTGGCATGGCATTCATCCCTGGGATGGGATTGGAGACACTCCCTGGGGGAATTGAGGTGTCTGTGGTGGGACTGGGGTGTCCTGGGATAGACTAGGGTGAGATGGGCATTTCCTGGTATGGGACCCATCCCAGGGGTGTGTTTGGACTAGTCCCAMGGGTGGGACTGAGGTGTTCTGGGATGCGATCCATCCCTGGTGGGACTGGGGACCCTCCCAGGTGTGTTTGGTGCCACTCCCAGGTGTCCCGGTGCCACCTCCGTGTCCCAGTCCCCACTCACCACCTGCACACACTCCATCAGGGGCAGGCGCACGGCCTGGTTCCCGGACAGACTGACCACACAGGCCGGGGTGTCCGGAGTTGCCTCCAGCAGAGCCATCACTGCCTCCACGCCCATCCTGCTGCCCTGGGGGGGCACGGGGGGGTCACCTCAGGGGGGCTGTCACCTCCTGGTCCCCTCCTTTGTGGGTGGGGTGGGGATGGGGTGGTGCCCACCAGGATGCGGTCGAAGGCCGAAGGGGTCCCCCCACGCTGGACGTGGCCCAGGATGGTCACTCGCGTGTCGTAGGCCAGGCGCTTGACCACGAGCTGTGGGGACACCGGAGGCGCTCCAGAATCCGGCTCAGAAACGGGGCAAAAGTGGATGGTCCCCCGTGACCTCCTGGTCCCACTCACAGATTGTACCCTGTGACCCCCCAGCACCGCTCAAGGATTGTCCCTASTGTCCCCCTCTGTCCCCACTCACAGCTTTGATGTCATCAGCAGTGATGGCCTTGCCATGTTTGTCGATGGCACCCTCGGCCACGATGATGATGTTGAGCCGGGAGCCGCCGTCACGGGCCTGGGATTGGGGACACGGGGTGACAACGGGAACAGGGACGGGTGAGATTCCTGCAGCCATCCCTGCAGCCATCTCCCCACCTCCATCCCTGCAGCCATCTCTCCCTCTATCCATCCCTGCAGCCATCCCTCTGTCCATTGTCCCCCCCCTCCTGACTGGTTCCATGTCTACCTCCATGTCCATTCTCCACCACCATGTCCACCCCCATGTCCCACCTCGCTCAGCCTCCTACACAGGTGGTCCTCCCAGTCGTCCTCAGGGGGGGACTCGGGGATGAAAACCCAATCGGCACCACATGCCAGGGCTGTGATTAGTGCCAGGTACCTGGAACAGGGCCACAACCACTCTTTTAGGGACTTTCAGGGACAAAGATTCAGTAATAACAATTTCCACAATTTTTTTATGGGAAAACCCCCCCTGAGCATCCCCAGGACTCACCCGCAGTGGCGCCCCATCACCTCCAGCACAAATGTCCTCTGGTGGCTGYGGGGACAGAGAGTGTCACCAAACCRGTGACAMCGGGAACACTGGGGGGACACCTGGGGGCACTGGGGGACATCTGGGGACTCTGGGGGCACCTGCCGACACCGGGAACACTGGTGGACATGGGGAACATCTAGGGACACTGAGGGACACCTGGTGACAACAGCCACACAGCGGGGAACACCTTGGGACATGGGGGTGTCCCCATCACCTCTGTGCTGTGGTGGTGATGGCATCCACGATCTCCATGATGCGGTGCAGCGCTGAGTCGGTGCCGATGGTCATGTCAGTGCCACAGAAGTCATTGTCAATGGAGCCCACCATGCCCACAATGTTCAGGTGGCTCGAGCGCTGTGCCTCCTCCGTGCTGATGCCACCTGGGGGACAGGGACACAGGTGGCGATGGTGGGTGGCACCCCCCGAAGTTGCAGAATGCAGTGTGAGGAGAAATGCAGGTTAGGGTGGTAAATTCATGCATTTGGGTGGTAAAAATCACATTTTCGGGTGAAAATACCCCACATTTTTGGGTGCCACAAGGCTTCATTAGGGGGAAAAACCATGGGTTTTGGTGACAAAAAGGCCACATTTTTGAGTGCCACACTCTGGTTTTGGAACCAAACCTTTCCACACMCCCTGTTCCCACTGTGGGACACCCCCAAAGTAGCCCCTTCGGGGGTAGAGGTGTTGTTGGGGGGAAACAACAGGAGTTGATGGGGGGGAAACACAGGTGTGGGTGGTAAAAATCCACARTTTTGGGTGCCAAAACCCATTGTTTTTGTGTAGAACACCCTAATTTTGGAAGCAAATCTTTTCATATGCCCTCCTCCTTCTGTGTCTCCTCACCAAAACATTCCCAGCAATRCCACAAACCTCCATTATTGGGGAAAAATCTAATTTTTATGTACCAAAAAACCACATTTTTGTGTGCCACAAAGCTCCATTAGGGGGAAAAATCCCACTCCTTGATTTCCCCCTACCCCAGGTTGATTTTGGGGGTTCCTGAGGCATCCATGGTACCGGTTTTGAGCAGCGCAGCCCTTTCCCCCCTTCTCAAGGTGATTTTGGGGTGCTCTGGGCTTTGTTTTGGGGGTCCCAGGGTGTCCCGGTACCGTTTTTGAGCAGCTCCTGCAGCAGGGACCCCCATTCTGCCCGGAAGGTGTCGGCCCCGGTGAGGCTGCCGTCACCGCCAATCACACACAGGTTGGTGATGCCGCGCTTCACCAAATTSCGGGCGGCGCGGAGCCGTCCCTCGCGCGTGCGGAAATCCTGGCAGCGTGCGCTGCCGATCACCGTGCCACCCTGGGGAGAGCAGAGCGATGAGTGGGTGGCACTGGGGCCATCTGTCCATTCCTGTGTCCATCCCTCTGTCCATCCCTGTGTTCATCCCTGCGTCTACCACTCCCTCTGTGTCCATTCCTCTGTCAATTCACTCATCCATCCATCCATCCATCCATCCATCCATCC